AACCCTAAACCCTAAACCACGGTAGGGTGTCTCTTCATTGGCGGCCTTCAGGGGTTGCGAACTGGGCAGCCTCGGATTGCGGCGAGAGACAGAGCGAGCGAGAAGTTAAACGTTTAATGTAGGGGCCTGAATAATNNTTCCTGATTATAATTAGAGTATAATGGGGCCCCAAACCCTATTTTGATTATTCAGGCCCTACATTACGGGTTTGGGGTGGCCTGAGTCCCAGCTGAAAAGGGTTTAAGGTTCAGGGTGAAATTGCCTCGACGCATGTTCTCCAATGCGAGCCGTTGGCAGGGTTTAGGGTTTAGGGAGTGGCGCAGGTACCTACTGCGGAGGAGGTGGTCGTCAAGTCCCAGTCCAGGGCAAAGGACGATGCCCAGGAGGAGGTCTCGACGCAGTCCCCGGCCCCGTCCATGGAAATTGACTCCACCCCAGCCCCTGACCCCGACGTCGATGCGGCTGTGCCGGCAACTCGGCTTCAGATCATCGGACGGTGTGCGCTAAAAAAAGGGGCCTGGGGCCCTAAAAGCGTTGCTGGTCCTAGTCCTTGGAGATCCCTCGAATCCCACCGCGTGCTTTTCGCAACCCCAAGGAAGTCGATGCCGCGGCTGGGGATGCCACAGCTTCGGCCCCAACGGAAGCGGAAGCCCCGGCGGAGCCGGCGGCAGAAGCCGAGGTGAAGCCCGTGGTTCACGAGACAAGGCCCACCGTCATAAACTTTTAGGGTTTAGGGTTTAGGGTTTAGGGGTTTAGGGGTTTAGGGTTTAGGGTTTACGAGACAAGGCCCTCTTCATGCCTTGCATCGGGCATCCCAAGAGTCAAGTGATGCAAGATTGTTTGCATCGGACGGCAACTGTTACGTGTACCTTGCAGATGTTCAGCCTCCGTAATCTGATATCATTTTTTTGTGAGAGCTGCGCCCACGATTGATACTCATCGCTGTCGGGAACCCTAAACCCTAAACCCTAAACCCTAAACCCTAAACCCTAAACCCTAACCCCTAAACCCGGGAAAAGCCAGCCTCTAGCAGGTTCGGACTCCTGCTGGAGAGCCTCTTGGTGGCAAGTGCAAGCACCCTCTCACAAAAGCGCATGGGACGCAGTTGTTCGCCAATTGTCTCTGTCAGGATCTAGCTACCCTAAACCCCTAAGCCCTAAATCCCTAAACCCGAAACCCGAAACCCCTAAACCCCTAAACCCCTGAACGCTAAACCCCGAAACCCTGAACCCTACGTCCTACAGTCTCAACCTTCGATCCTGAAGCCCGAACCCCCGAAATGGACGAGCTCAGAATTCCGAGCCTGCGAAATGCGGGACGAGTCCGGCGCTCTGACGGACATCGACATGGCCAAGTTCTTCGAGGCTGCTGTTGATGATATGAAGAGGACGCTAAACCCTAAACCCTAAACCCTAAACCCTATAAGCCCTAAACCCTAAACCCTAAACTATGGGAATCATGGTACATTCCTTATTATGGGTCATGCAGATTTTCTATATCATCAACCGTAGCATCCTGATCCCCAAAACCCCAAAACCCTCAACCCCAAACCCCTTTAAACCCTAAACCCTAAACCCCAAACCCTCAAACTCCTAGCCATGATAATGTAGGTCCCTGAAGGGCACAACTCTCCGGACCTGATACTGTGAAAGGTGAAAGTCGTTAC